CCCCAAGTAGGTAAAATAATAGCCCGAAACCTCTATTTAGGGTTTAGGCCTCTATTTAGGGTTTAGGGTTTAGGGTTTATGGGTTAGGGTTTAGAGTTTAGGGTTTAGGGTAAACATAGCCCAACAGGCCATTATTCTACATACTTTTGCGGTTCAGGTAAGAAGCACGCCTCCGAATCCTCGTGATTGTCCTGTTGTCCGAATGCTGAATATATGTATAGCAATCGAAGGGTGATGGATGCCATTAGCTTCGTTGGCCTGGAGGACCTTCAAAGGTAGTATACAACTTATTCACGCGAGTACACATCGTGTCTGAAACTGCATGCACGGATCAGGATCCGCCAAGAAGGTATGACTTGATAGGAACAGACCCCTCCGCTCAGCGAAAGGGCCTTCTCTGCATCCATGATGTTGAAGTTCATCTCATGGTCTCAGTGTGTCGGTCGATCGGGCTAGGTTACGGACGTGAATCCCATCCGCAGTCTGCTCTTGACACCGTAAGTCAACTCAGCCCATGATCTGGCTTAGTCTGATCGAAAAATGGACTGCTCTGTGGGATACGAAAGCGCCTTCTGGAGACAAACAGGTATGACCAGCAAAGTCTGCTGAAATCCTAGCAGCGCGGGAAATGTCTTGAAATGGTAGCCATGGGAAGCTTTATGGCAGCGATGATGCTTCTCCCAAGACGCCACCATAACACGTTTCAAGGATCGAGGCTCCTGTTGAAACAATATAATACAGCCTCAAGCAAGATGAAAATAAGTGGGAATTCAAGCCAAGTGCGGGGCGACTGCAAATTTCCCCCCAAACCCTAAACCCAAATCAAACCCTTAACCCTTGGGTTTCTTGGAACTCAGGTACAGCCTACAAGTCAAACTGCTTCTCAGCGATGCAGCAAGCAGACCATGTTTGAGGCCTTCTAGAAGAGGCTTCTACTGGTGCTTGAGGAAGAGTGCATCCCCATAATCATCCCTATAAAACCATCACCACCATCATCATCATTATCATATAAGTATATACGTTTATATGTATATACATACCCCTCTAATGGTACCTATCTTCACTCCCCCACTCTCCCCTAAGCACCAGAAAGGAAGAAGCAGAAAGCTAAGGCGGAGACTCCAAACAATGCGGTCGGCCTCACAGCTCACCAAATCAGGGTTTGGGGTAAAAGGGATACCATAAAAGGATTAGGGGATGTATTGGGGTTCTACAGGGATTATGTAGTAGGGTTTAGGGTTTTGGGTTGTGCATAACTGCAAGGGCTGGATGCCTGTAGGATTCCCAAATATCATGGCTTGCTGTGAAGAGATTGAAGAGGGGGTGTGTACCGGGATGTTTAAAAGTCTACAGGGTTAGGGAATAACGGAGAGTGAGCCTTGGGATTCATAGCGGGTTAAAACGTACGCAGGAACTTGTATTGAGCTACTGTACCCTAAGACCATCTACCCGTATCATGATCACCTGAATTGAAGCTGCTAAACAGCCACCCAGTTTTCACCCTGCGAGTGCATCCCTGACTGTCATGAGAACCAAACCCAAATCCCAAACCCTAAATCGCATGGAGGCTTGGAGTAACTGCTCCGCCAAACCAGCTGCTTTTCAGAAGACAATTGAGGCCCCGTCTATCCTTCAAATTTTGTGGCTTCACATGAAGAAACCATGGTGCAGCTTCATTGCGCAGCACAATTATCTTTGAAGGCAAGCCTCTGTAGTTTCAGCACCATGTAACGTACTTTCAACTTTCAACGTCATGTACAGGAAGCCTGCGAAGAACAGATACGGCAACTGACCTAAGTTAGGGGCAAAGACCCGCATGATCAAAAGAAACAACTTCCTTGCAGAAATCCCTCCACTCTCACTTCACCACCCACGGGGCTACTGTTTGTTCGGAGACCACCATAGTCGGACAGCAGTTATTCGTCTGTCTTGGTTGAATAGAAACAGCCTTGAATCATCTGTAGACCCTGAGTCCTACACCCGAAACTGAAATCCTAAACCCTCCACCAACCATACACCCTCACTACCACACGCCATATGATGTTGCAGTTGCTTTTCCTCTTGGTTTTCCATGCATCCCCATGAATCCCTAAGCACTCCCTGAAAATAAGCCCTACATCTGTAAACCTTAAGCGAACCCTAAACACCTAAATCCTGGACCCTGAGCCCTAAACCCTAAACCCCTGAATCCGACATCTTCCCTGAACCCAAAACCCAAAACCCCACACCGTGCCTCAGGGTCCTTGATGTTATGCCAAGGTTTCTTCTTCCCAATGAGCGACCTCGAGACGGTCGCGATTTAGGGTTTCGAGTTTAGAGTTTAGGGTTTGGGGTTTAGGATTCAGGGCTAAGGGAAAATCTTAGGACAAGGAATATTCGTTTGCTAGGATAGACCCCTCCATCGCACCCAATAAGGAACTGCCCCAATATAGTCATTCTATATTGGGGGGGGGGGGGGATAATTCTTTATTAGGGGGACTGGTTAACCAGCTTCCACCTAACTTCCGGAAACCCCCAACTATACAGTGAAACGTAGATGGACACCGCCCCCCTCCCCATAATTCACGCACCACTTTAGAGTTTGTTTCCAACCCGTGGACCCCTACCAAGAAGAGGCAAAGCAAAGGACCACACATGTCCCAAACCAGAAGTACAGTGCCAAAAGCATAGGAATTTCTGTAAAGTCATTACGCTGCTTGTTACGCAGACGCATACATAGATACATGTTTGTATATACATATCTGCACACCGATATTTAAACGCGAGGCACAGCCCAAACTCTGAACCCCAAATGCAACACTCATGGGATGTTCCAACCACGAATCTTCTCTGGGCCATGAGGATTTAAGCTTTAGGGTTTAGGGTTTTGAATTTAGGGTTTAGGGTTTGGAGGACTATTTGTAGTACCCGTAAACTATAAAAGATGCCAGGAATCTGGGACGATAATATTGATAAGCATTGAGACTTCTACATTGGTTGCTACCAAGTCTGTATACCGCGAGTCGTAGCTTGCGCGGTGCAATCTAAAAGTCTGAGGGTAGGGTTGCCGGCATAGTGGATACACAAATGGAAGCTACTATAGAATACTATACTATTTCGGGTTCAGGGCATAGCCGAAAAGAAGCAGGATAATAATGTATCATTTCGGGCTTGTTGTTCAGGGCTCTGGTGATAACGGAAAACAAAAGCAGAACTGCTACATTCCGTCGCGTTTAGGGTTGAAGTGTAGGGGCCTAAAGAAATAGAATCTGGGATAAACAAGTAGGAAAGTAAATAGATGGAACTGGGGTTGCATGAGAAGTCATCGTGATTTTTGTGGTAATTGAAACAATTACATCTGCATTCTCCTTGTAACTCAAACGGAGGGTATAATCTTCCTCTCATTGTATTGGGCGGCGTAGTATCACCAAGCAAAAATACCACTCACTGGGGGTTTTGAAGCAGGAGGTTCCGGGCTGCGGCTGCCGCAACAAAGGAAAAACCAGACACCCTCAAAATCACCCCTTCGCGCACTTCACCTTACTGGTGCTCGAGAGGGGGGGGGGGGTAGTGTAGTAACGCATATATACACTAGACCATGTGCCCGGGCTCAAGCCCCCCTAGAGTACTGCCGAAACTCTTCTGGAAGCACTCAGCATCTCTTGGGATCTTTGCTTGTGGCTCCTGGGCCTTCTTTGTTGACACCCTATATGGGCTATAGTCTAAACTCCCTTAAAAGGTGACTTATATAGGGCATTATATAGGGGAGCATTCTAGGGTTTATGCAGGGGGGTGCAGATGTCACCTGCTTCCAGATGATACCCAGATTCACACTCCCTTCTCACCATCCTGGTGCTCCAGACCTCTATATTATACCTAAAACCCTAAACCCTGGGACTTGAACCCTGCCTATAACGACTTGTACAATCCCCTAGAATAATACCTAAATTCATCTCTTCTGTCCCAGAGAGCCGCTGGCACTTTTAGCCTTGCTTCCTTGGTCTGATGTGCCACAATGCTGCTTCTAGAGCTTGATCGAAGCCATCCAGATCGACTCCTGAATTGCTGGGCTTTAGGGTCCGAGGACCCGAATAAGAGGGCTTTAGTAGGGCCCAAATAATATTGATGTTCTAGTATTTGGGCCTGAAACCCTATTATTAGGGTCCTTGGACCCTTAGGGGCTGGGCTTTAAGGTTTACGACTTAGCTGTCGCAAAAGGCTCAGGGTTGGCGATTTTGGTCTTAACCTCAATTCCGGCTTGATGATCCTGGAGTGCTGTGTGACGCTTAGGGCTCTTTCCGGTTGTAGCTCAGTTGCGCTTAACTTGGAATGCAAGATATAGGAGTCCTGGCGAAAGAGGAGCTGCAACGATGGGATCAACAGTGGTTTCTTTAGAGCACTGTTTGCATCTCAAGTGAAGCTGCTGAACAGTAGCCCAGGATCTCATGTAGTCGCTGATGTTCTTGAACGCATCCTCCACCATCACATGGAAATATTTCCTTGCTGGAACCGCAGCTTGGGAATCGTTAGACTTCAAAACGTGCTCTTGGATACAGGGAAACCTTGGAGATTGCTGGCTCATTCCCGGCTACTCCCACGATCACAAACCTCTGCTAGCTTTCCACCCTGCAAGGGTTGGCGTATGTCATCTTCTTCCGAGCTGGTAAGGTATGAGCTCTTGAAGGCACAAAGGCTTGCCAAGCTTACTAAAAAAACCTCGGGAGGAAAGAAACGAAACCCTCCCTGGCTATGGCTGTAGATAATACCGTCGCCGTAGACGGCTCCACTGGTACTGTTGCTACTGCTGCTGCTTTTGTCGTCTTCGCTTCTGCTGCCGTTTTGGATGATCAGCTTTGCGCCCGTTACTGTTATGGTCATGAATATTGCGTTGGGGTTATCGTTGCTCTTGTTGCGCCTGTGTTCGTTCCGCCATTGTCGCGTGTATCTTCTGCGGCCACGGGTCAACCACGAGAGGCTACCCTCTAAGCTCCATGTGGTGGCCATACGCACTTTGCCATCAGGGAGGTCGCAGCCACGAACCTACATTCTTCATTGAATTAGCTTTGCAAAGCGCCATTGTGGTTATATTAGTTAATGCGGCATTGTGTCTTTAGATGGCTTTAGGGCTTGTATGTGACTTGTGTGCAAGGATTGAAGCTTGTAGGGCGCGCTGCCGTCTCGATGCTTGGCAGCATGTTTGCCGCCTCTCTACAACACGCACCTTCGCAAAGAATAGCTGGATATACTCCCCATACACATAACTTGGCTTCCTTTTGGGGCATGCCCACCATGCCCCGAACTCCTACCCTTCCGTGGAAGGTGGTCTTCGTGGTTGGGGGAAGGCTCCGATGGCCCAAACGTGGCCTGGTTTAAGCAAAAGCCAACAGACGTCTACACAAAAGGCAAGCAAAAGCTAACCAGTAGCGCTCTTCTTTAGCTACATTCAGCTTTGCTCCATTCTAGCTTTCCTTGTAGCTTCTGTTTGGCGTTCCCTCTCTGCAAGTCTTGTCCATCTGGAGCCACGTTTCGCGGGACCAGAAATGAGCTTTCCTTTGGGGAAAATCTTGAAAAAACTACAACAAAGCTTAGATAGACAGTGCGAAATTGCCAAGTAACAGTCAAGTGAAAGCCGATTGAAACTCAATGGACTCCCTGAAGCTCTCACTCTAGCCTTCATTTAGTTGTCCATGGCTTGTTGTCTAATGTTTTCTCGGCTTTTCAATTTATAACTCCGGTCTCCATCTAAGCTGCTCTGTATCTTCTTGTTATTACTATATTACTGAAAAAAACAACTCGTATGGGCAAGGGCCAGCCTAACATGAAACCCTAGCATGGGGCCAAGTAGACCCTTTCGTAAGCCTGACTCCGCATACCACATCTCAGCATAACCTTTTTCAACCCCTAGCTCCCTACACCCCATAACCCAACCCATATAGCCTTGGACTCAACTGCGTCAGAGTTGTATCCAAAAGCCGCAAACCCTAATCTTTTGCAACGGGCCCTGAACCCTAAACCCTAAGCCCTAAACTCCTAAACCTTAGTGCAATCAACTCATGCCAACGCCTTAGTAGAGTGAGCGCTGCAGATAAACTCGATGGCCGCCGCAGGCACTGTGCAGGGCATCCATATGAGGTTTGCAAAGGCCGTTCCTAGGGCTGAGTTTTGGTTCAAGGATTTAGGGTTTATAGTCCCCTTAAGTAGATAGAATATGGGTATATGGGGATCTTGTTATAATATACCCAAACCCATATTCTATCTACTTAAGGGGCACTTTAGCGGTTTAGGCTTTGAGGTCGAAGGGTTAGGGGATTTAGGGTGTAGAGTCTTCACAAGCTGCATTGACATGGTTTAAGGATCTCCTGAAGAGTCTGAAGACACCGAGCCTTGGGGAGGCAAAGGACGACGCCTTTGGGAACTTCAAAAGGTCCACCTAAACCCCCCAAAATATGTGGAATAATCGCCCTTTTGGCTGTTTTAGAGGGTCTTGGTCCATTATTATACCTACTTTGGAGTTTAGGTAGTGCTTCCCACAACCCAAATCCAAAGCCTGGAGCCGCGGCTCAAGATGTCAGCGCAATAAGAAAGCTACGAGAATTGACATAAGCCTCTCCCCATGTAAGGGGGATATAGTCATCGCAAACCATCTAGGGCCAACGTATTCCACGTACATAAGAGGGCTTTGGTAATACCAGCCTTTTTCCAGAAGCATCCTGTAAAACTCGAACAATATGAGAAAGGGGGCATGAAATAACCAAAGCCCGTGTTAGGTCAAAATTAATCTGCTTCTCGCTAAGAGGTGGGCAGTTGAAGCAAGACGACGCCTGAATCTTGGTCATCTACTCGCCTGACATTATCATGCCACGCGCTCTTATCTCTGGCTAATTACACACTGGTCAAGACTGTTCCAAATGCGTCTGGCTCTGATAACCTAAACATGAACCCTAATCGTCTCAATCCTATGGCACTATTACTCTCACTATCCTTTCCCTGTTTCTATAACTAGTATTATCACTATAACTAGAACTACAGTACTATTACTATTACTATGACTACTACACCTCGAACCTAAACCGCTCCCGAGACCCCAGTACGTTTCACAAAGGACCATGGAGCCGTGAGGGCCGAAGGACAATATCGCAGAGCTGAAGATGCGATGCTGTTCCTCTGTGCTCTGTTTAGGGTTTAGGGTTCAGGGGTTTAGACTTTAGGGTTTAGGGATTAGGGTTCAGGGCTTTAGAGTCCCTAAACCCGAAGCCCTATCTTTAGTTGAGAAGTTCTAAGGGGAGAAGGGTCCTCCCGTAGGCTTATATGGGTACTGTTTTGGGAACTTTCCATTCTCAGGTCCCCAGCTCTGTAACCTTGCTCCCAACGCACCCTAAACAGTGGAAGAGGTGATTCTGGTCCTCAGTCCCCACTCCACTAGGTCCTAGGTTAACTGTCATAGTTCAATACTTGCAGGAAACGAGAGGGATAGGGTTTGGGGTTTATGGATAAAGCAGTATAACGAACCTATAGGGTTCGAAAACTTAACCTGAAAGCTGTTGAGCCCTAGACCTGGGGCTAAAAAACCTTGCGCCCTACATACCTTCAACCCTCGACTAAAAACTAGGGTAGGTTTGGGGGCCCTTTAATAATTACGCTCTTATGGCTTTATAAAGATTTTATGGGGTTAAAAGGTAGTAAAATCTAGAAAATCTTTCAAACCTGTCCCTGTAAACTCAACTCCGCACACAGGACCCAGGCACTCCAAAAGTGGAAGTTTTCCCTCTTGACGTACCATTGAACACCACGATATGCGTCGACATCCCGTGTCTTTTCAGGGCGCGTCGCGTGGCTCCCAATACCTTGGTGTAGTGTGTGGCATACACACTCCCGGAAACTAACATGGAAACCCAAAAAGGGCCGTATAAAGACTACAATCACTCTGAAAGGGAACTCTATGGGTTTCCATGTTAGTTTGGGGGAGTGTGGGGTTTGGGGTTCGGGGGTGTAGGGTGCATGTCTGGTGGGTTGAGGGTGAAAGCTCTGTTACGCGCGGTACATATGTACACATATACGTTCATGTATCAGGCTATCATCCGACCTCTCGTTCATGCAAACAGGGTATGTCTTTTCGGAGAACACCGCACCTCCTTGTTATGCGCATCTGTCAGTAGCCGGCCGTTTCCCGCAGTAGCTTTCATCCGGACAGCATACCTTATTTCCGGGGAGAAAGGGAAATCTTTCGACTTTGGGCTATCCTGTTTCTCAGGGAATCATCCGGTCTATTTTCAGCCAATAAGTCATTATCTAAGCAAACCATCCCACGGACAATGTTAGCTGAGTAGAAAGACATCTAACTGGGAAGATACCTGGTGCAACACACAACCCTAAACCCTAAACCCTAAACCCGAGCAATCTTGCACCCTGGGTTGAACCACCTTAGTATGGTGCTGCATCCCACATCTGTTTCGCGCGTTCCTGGGCTGCATCCAGATGAAGGTGTCTTAAGAATTGCCCATACGAAGCACCCCTTGTACAGATTTTGTGACCCCTAAACCCTAAACCCAATCCATGGGTCACCACACTGGCCTGTTTGTGAGCACGGGGTGATTGTTTACTGTCGGATCACCTTTTAACATAGAAGTCTGTCCGATTAATGGCTGACCTTTAGGGCTTAGGGTTACTTCCAAACTTTACCGAAGGGGGTTCTCAAAACGGGGATACCCGTGACATCCCAGTCAGCATCTAGGTGTGATATGAGAGCTATGGAAGTCCCCCATCAAAGGATGATCTGGAGGATTTCCATGCGAAAAATACAAACTGGGTGGTGGACCACTGGGGGATGATCGCAATTGGGCCTTAGGTGGCCGACTGGGTTGGCTCCAAACAGATACTTTAGGGCATCTGGCAAGCGGCGGACTTCCTTGAGCAGCGGTTGGGCTTTGAGGTAGCTCGCTAAGATCTTGGTTCCGCTGGTGAAAGGTAGTAGTCTGCTGGCTGTGCGTGTCAGAACCGTGTGGCAAAAGCAAAAACCTATACCTGCAACTCTAAATTCTCTAGATACAGAGTTGCTGGCAAGATGCAACTCAAACCAAGAAGGTAAAGTCGAAGCTTCAACCCGAACCCCACAATCTCAAAACCCAAACAGCCCTAGACCCCAAACCCTGACTCACCCAGCCAGGTAAGGCACACAACGTACTTCGCCTCGTAGGTCGGCAGCACTCGCGCGATGTGCCGCCGCAGATTGTTGAGCAAGGGAGGTATGCGGAGCCCGTGCCTGGGTTTGGGACATAACTAGGGTGTAGGGTTTAGGGTCACTGGGATATCTAGGGAAAGGGTTTAGGAATTTGGGTGCTTTGGGGAGCTGAGACTAAGGGTGTTGAAGGAGCTCCATGGAAGCATTATGATAGCATGTAGTGCATTCTGCTGCAATGATTTCTCTGTTTGGGGTGCGGGGGTCGAGGTTTAAGGATTTTGGGTTTACCTTCACGTGTATAGGCTAAACTCCTTAAAAGGGGTTATAAAGGGTATAGGGGACTGTATTGGGGAATATCATAGCCATTATTAGGGGGGATACTAGGAGTCTAAACTACAGCTCATGTGGGAGTGGAGAATAAAGGAATAGAAAATAGGGATGACGAGAAAAATGCAGAGAATGTTGCAGGGGTTATACCCACTCACCACCAGCAAGTTTAGGGAGCTTCTGTGAGCCATCTATAATCTAAACTCCTATTATCCCCCTCAATGACCCCTACACTACTCCCCTAAATGTTCCATTATAAAGGCCCGTTTAATGAGTTCAGCCTATAGCTCACGCAGGTTCTTCCGAATTCAGGAAGGCTCAGGGCTTGAGGATTTAGAGCTTCAGGCTCAGGTTCAGGTACAAGGGTGTAGAACTTGGTGAATTGTAGGTTTTGGGTGTTGGGCATCGGGGCAATGACTTCAAACTTCTGTTCCCTTCTTCGCTGCAGCAGATTCATGTAGCACCAAGGATACAAACCCTAAACCCCAAACCCTAAACTCCCTAAACCCTACACCCTTAACCTTAAATCCTAATCCCTAAACCCTCAATCCTAAACCCTAAATTCTAAACCCTAAATCCTAGACCCTAAATTCTAAACCCTAAATCCTAACCCTAAATCCTAAACACTAAGGCCTGCGAAGCGGCGGGCTCTCAACCTTTGGGACCACTGCCCACAGCGCTGATCCACACACGACCTCGCAGATATCTGGGAGGGTTTAGGTTTACAGTGTCAATAGGGTTTAGGGTTTAGGGGTTTAGGGTTTAGGGATCGGGGTTATATTGGGTACTGCTCCGCCCCCAGTCAGTCTATATTAGGGGTCCTATTCAGGGCTATATATAACCATATCATAATTGTTATCCAGCTGTTACTGAGGGGGGCAGTACTAAAGGGAGGGTTTAGGTTTACGGTGTTCTTGGGGTAATATTAAGACTATATATGGTTGATGGAAAAGAAAATGGAAACTACTATTTAGGGTTTAGGGTTTCCCAGAATAGCCCGAACAAACTAGAAAGGGTTATAGGGGTCAGAATGGGGTATATACAGGGGCTGAGTATATAAGGATGATATAAGGTTTATACCCAAACAAACTAGAAAGGGTTATAGGGTTATATAGGGATAATGAATATTTCTCTGGTGTTTAAGCCGCTCTCTTGGGGTTAACGGTTATAGTTATAGGGTTATATAGGGATAATGGAAAATAGAATGGAAGCTACTATAGCGTAATAGGGTGTAATAGCGTACGTATATATTGGGGTTATATAGGGATAATGGAAAACAACATGGAAACTACTATAATGGGTTACATAGCGTTCAGGGTTTAAGGCACCCACCGCATCGCCTGATAATGCCTGTGTAACCCTACGGTTGAGACTAAAAATCCTGCAGGGCCCTAAGTAGCCAAAGCCTTACGAACTGTGTTGCCATACTAAGAGTGGCCCAGAATCTCCCATCTTAGATCAGGGACCATCTTTGTATGGGATAGGGATGCTTAGGGCTTCGGACTCAGCCACCCCGCCCCGGACGATACATTTGGCTGCCTTAAGGTTCGTTACAAATCGTTACCCTAAACCCTAAAACGCCTAGACCCTGAACTGAAAATCCCTAGAACCCTACAACCTAATACCCAAAGCAACCACCTCCTCAGGATTCACGAACAGAGTCTTCTTGCTCAGTTCTGGATCAAACCTGAACTGTATTTGGGGCGTTAGTTTTAAGGGCTTAGGGCTTGAGACCTGTTCCTCCTGACTACAATAAGGTCCCAATTATAGAGGCTGGGGCTAACAAACTCCCCTTGTTAATTTAAGGCTCTAGAACTTGTAGGGTTCCTTAAGCCTAGCGGCATCCAAGAAATGAGCTCCCCAAACTGAGCCAAACGTCCGTTTAAGTAAAAAGCAACATGAGGTGAATAATTTGGGTGTCGAATTTTGGATGCATTACGTAAGGGGTCTGGAAATGTGAAAATGCTAGCCAGCAATGGCCCAGCAACCAGTTTAGAAACGGCTTGATCTTTCGCTTGATATCCAGCTCCAGCACAATCCGTGCTTTCGGATGGGCAGCAGACACCCAAATCACCATTGGCAGCAAGTCGTGCAGAATGTGACCATACCTAAGCCGGCAGTATGGGCTCTATGGACATAATGCCTGTATGATGTGAGTGTTTATCGTTTATTGTGACTGTATAGGGCAAGTGAAACATATAAAGAGTAAGCAAGACGCTGGAAACTCTTGTAGCTGAAGCCTCTGTAGAAGATGATTTCCTCAGCGAGGTTTAGCTTGCAAACCTCTAAGGGGGCCTGCTCTGTTGGCGGCAGATACCAGCCAGATTCTATAAGCTCAGTGCTCTCTGGAGCCAGTCTAGTTTGCCAGTTGCCCATGCCAGTAGGGGTAGGGTATGAGAACCTTCCTTGGAGCACGTGCTTGACGTCAAAAGCATCTTCAATGGACTTTGAGATGACATGACGGGTGGCCCATTGATTTTCATTCCAGACTGCGCGGTTTGCAGAATCATTGACGTCGTCTCCCATATAAAGAGTGACCTCGCCGACTGCATTGCGCTTGGGACACCTTCCTGTGATGAATTCTACGCCAGACTCCGTAAAGTCACCGACTGCAGCAAGTGGTTTGGACATCTCCAGCTGGGACACTGCTTCAAGGGTCGTGTCCACTGACAGAAAGAAAGGGACTGGCAGCAGACAACCTGCACCTGCGGCCAAACAAAGCATATACCAGCGGACCACCATGGCCGGAGTGCAGTGCACATGAGGTGCTGTGTCCCTCTGAGGGGCGTCTGATGCAACTTTACTTACTGGCGGTTATTAGGGAATAAGGGAGTATAACCCATATATAATCTCAATATACTACACTGTAGTCTCTTATTCCCTACTAGCCACCAGTAAGGCTTGATGCAATTTTACGTTTTGGGGTAATCACCTGACATATGTCCAAAGAGCCTTCTGGACAGACGAGACGACGGTTCACAAGGCATTGGAAGCTTCTTGAGCTGCAACTACTTAAGGGTAATCAGCAAGGAAGAATGGAATATATTGTATGGGGATTATATATGCACGATGCTCGGAAGACTTCTCAGTCAAGAAGGTAAGATGTCTCTATGGCATTCGGAAAGCAGCTGAACCTCTAACGAAAGCTTTCAACCAGCTTTCGAATGAGCTGGCTGATAACAAATGACCAAGAAAACATGTACAAATCCTTTGTAGCAGTGTGAGTTTCCAAAAACGGGCGGTGCCAATTAATTAGACTTCAATATACGCGCTTTTCAGTAGGGGGGCTCCTAAAAAGGGGCGGGGGATCAAACAACAATTCGTGGGTCGCGTAGCAGGTGCTGATACTATAGATTACAACATTTTGGCTAGGTTCCCTAGTAACGCCTTACCCAATAAGAGTACCCTTTTTCCCACTAGTCAGCTTTAATAAGGAGACCCCCAAATAAAAAGGGAAAAAGGGTACTGAATTTCCAATTGACTTGGCCCCAAACCCAAACGAAAGTTCTATGTATGGGCCCCCCAAGATTGACACACCAATAATACTCTTACTGGAGTCCCCCCCCCTCAGCTTGCTGCAAACTCCGTAATTAAGCGCATCTCCATACTGCGAACTACCTGGCGATCCCTATAACCCTGAACCTTACATTCCTTCTTAAGTGTGTGGAGTGGCATGTATGGCTACTGCAGGACCAAAACTCTTAGGGTTGCGTTTGCAGGGTGTATTCAACCATAACAAGACAAGGGTAAAGGAGAGATCTTCTTGGGCTTCTACCAGCCTAAGAACAACCCTTACCCTGAGGGTCCAAGGACTTAAATAATGGGGTTTTAGGGCCCACATACCATTAATATTATGGTTTCTAGGCCCTAAAACCCCATTATTTGGGTCCTTGGACCCTTAAGGTTAGGAATTGGTAAGATTGCTCCAGGCCCAGGCGGTCGTTCGGAGTATTTCGCCAAGTCGGGACCTGGGAGCATCAGGAGCTGGGGTGAAACGATGGAACCCTAATCCCTAGACCTCTAACCCTTCGGGCTGAGGGTGTAAGGTCTCGCTGTATGTGCACGTGTGCATAGTGCAGCGCAGCGTAGTGTAGTGTCTGCGCCCTTGTTGAAGAGTAGCGTCCGTGCACGCCATCGCGCGCTAGCGTTTAGTCGTCCCAGCCAAACATCCACAAGCCTCTGGAAAGGGGCCTCGCTTGCTTGCTTTTGCTGATCAGGTGTTTGTACATTTGTTCACAAACATGGTTTGATAGCACAGGGAACAGAAAATGAAGCCACTGGTATGCGTCCCGGCTTCCGCCGAAACAGTGCTCCAACGCACAGAACTTGGAAGCTGCGCAGGAAGAACAGAACACGTCAGTGAAGCGGCAGATGCCTAAACCCCATGAGTATAACTATAATCCCCCTTAAGTAGACAGAATATGGCTTTGGGTTTATTACAATAAGACCCCATATACCCCAGCTTCTCTCTACTTAAGGGGACTATAGTCATAATAGTTTCAATTTTCTGTTCCCTGGCCTTAACCCTGTATGGCCTGTATGGCTCATCGACCCCTCGTAGGCAAGACTTGGAGGGGGCCCAAAGTCTGAGGATATAGGTACCCATTGGGGTAATGTTAGAGTTGTGATACTGGGGTTATATAGGGATAATGGAAAAGAACATGGAAACTGCTATTTAGGGTTCATTCATTTTACTGGGGTTATATAGGGATAATGGAAAAGAATATGGAAACTACAATTTAGGGTTTAAGGTCCAGGCTATGCAGCCTAGGCCGGGTTGCCAAAAGAGGGCAACTTCTCGCCAAGGACCTGGCGACACTGAATCTGGGCCCAGGGCTTGGGTGTAGGGCTTAGGGTTCAGGGGTTTAGGAGTTTAGGGTTCAGGGCTTAGAGGTTCAGGGTTTACAGGTTTAGGTTTCCGGGTGTAGGGGTTTTAGGGTTCAGGGTTTAGGGTTTTAGGACTCCACGGACCTCTCCATTCCAGAGCTCTCCTCGAAATTAAGGGAAAAATTGGTCGCTGGTTGGGGGTCCCCACAAGAAGGATGAAAGTATATTGGGGTCAATAGGGAGAGGCTCTTGTATGGAAATGGTCCCTTTTTGCAGGTCCCTGTAACAAGGATGAAAATATATTGGGGTCTATAAGCCTCAAACCCCTGTTCCCCACCCCTTTTGGGGGGACCTAACTTTAAGTCAACAATTTTCTATATACAAAATTGGGTACCCTAAACAAAGGGGTACGATGTGTATATATATATATATATCTACATACATACATATATATATATACATATATAAATATACATACGTCAAGCCCAGGCTCTAACCCCTCCCTAGATCGCAAAAGCATGTCAAATCATAGCCCTAAACCCGAAAAAAATCCAAAGAGGCTGTAATTATAGAAATGCGAGCCTGTCCGGCAGATGGTCGCCCTCCCTGCCATCAACTTCAAAGCGGCCGACAGCTTCCTCATGCCGAAGCTGGATGTATAGGAATTCTATGGGGCCTGGGATTATGTTTTCATTGTTATCAGACCTTTTTCCTACTGCAGTGTTATGGGTTTAGGGTTTAAGCTTTTGCAGGGTGTAAAGGCTGTCTGGGGATATACAGGTATGCTGCGATACATAGCTGCCTAAAAGTGGAGAACCAAATGGGATTATATAGGGTTTTGCAGGATAGTATATACAAGGTTGTATGATCAAGGTTCAAGGATAGGCATACTACGAAGCATTGGTATCATCGTACTTCTGAGACTAGATAGGATATCATTTGGTTGCAACTTGGGCTTTACCCTTACAAGCCTCCCTGTAAACCCTCCCCAGCTTAATCCCAGTCTATTTTTGTTTGCTTTTATTCTCCACTATCGGGCATTAACTTGGGTCTCGTCATGCCTATACCATAACCCTTTGCTGCAGGCTTGTCTGTCCCTCCTGTAAGGAGGGACCCAACAACAGCTGCCCTTCATGCAACCCCGGAAGCTTGACCCCAAATTCTCTGGAGATTATCTGAGCAATAGTCTAAACTCCTAGTATCCCCCTTAAGGCTACCTATAGCAGTCCCCTATATAATCCCGTATATAACTTATATAACCCTATAGCTCATTTGATACGAGACAACTTTCGTTTAGCTGTTCAAGACACTTTCATGAAGATGCTGGAAGTTTAGCCGGTTGATCTCACAGGGCACCCGAAGACACAAAACCTTGCTCTGAACCTTCAGCCCGGCAGTCCTTCAGAGGCTTGCGAGCTGGCAGCTTTTGAAAGGGGATGTTCTTGGTCCTGAGACGGGGACAGGGGACATACATCAGGGCTTATAAAGGGAATATATAGGGGGTATACGGGGAGAAGAGAAAAAAGTTGAAACTATTGTAGATACGGAATGGTCATCGGATGCCAGCAATGGTCTTTGTTTTTGGAGCCCTTCCTCAAATACTACCCAGCTCAAAGTTGAAACAATTCCTGGGGTGTTTCTACAGGTGCCGGTCACAGAAACCTGACGGTGCTTGTCCCATCACGCAGAAGCAGTGCGGAAGACAGAAATGCATGGTGTGGATGCCTAAGAAATTGGGATGTTCAGGGTCAATTGTGCTAGACTTATATGAGGATGATAGGGGGAGAGCTTCTGGGTTCCGCTTCTGCCATAACGTCAGCAGCGGCTAATTCGAGATTCATGGGTATCTATATGTGACAAGTCAACTGAACATGTTGGTATGACTATGGCCACAATATCTGGAGAAGACTTGTAAACGTCTGTCCGGGGAGCTCTTGGCGGGGCTGCAGACTGCAGGAAAACGATCGGATGCAAGGGTGTGGGCCACATCCATCCTCACAGCAACCATGAGCAATATGCAGCTTTCAGTCTGAAAAGGCAATCCTTACAATATCTGCACAAGCAAGCCAACAAGAATAAAATGAGAAGGTTTGTACACTGCAAGGCATAGCATGGCATTTCCTGAGCGCCTTCTTACGTCTGAAGACAGCAGAACATGGGAAGTGCAGTGAGGTGCAGCAGTCGTTGCTAGAGGCATGAAATCATGGCAATAGCAGCAGAAGCAATGAAAAGCGTAGGCCTTGATAGGAAACGGCCGGGGCACTCAAACTGTACACTCCTCTCGGGTTGAGGACAAGGTGGGCATAACGAATATATAGGGGTATGTAGGGAAATATATGAGCTATAGTCTAAACTCCTTAAAGGAGGGATATAAGGGATTATATAGGGGACTACTATAGGTATTATTAAGGGGGATACTAGGAGTTTAGACAGTAGCTCATATAGGGTTCAGGGTTCTACAAAATTAAGGTTACCTTTTAAGCCAGAGTTCGTTGGCACCCTCGCAGCTGCGTTGCAGGTAAGAAGAAAGCTGCATTGTTCATTACCTTCAGGGTTTATCGTACTCAACCCACACGCTTGCAATAACATGTGAGGACATCTTCTAATTCAGGCTCCCCCTGATCCTTGAGATGGCTCATCGCATGAGCTACAGTCTAGACTCCTAGTATCCCCCTTACTAAGCCCTTTTATACTCCCCTATATAATCCCCTATATAACCCCCTCTAAGGAATTTAGATTATAGCTCAAATGAGGACACCCAACACAAGACCCTACATTCTAAGAAACTTAAAGCCTTGATGCCAAAAAACGATGCACCCTTTGCTCCTATACACCCATGACAAAGGCCCGCCATCTTCAAACAGATCTCTACCTCTAGATCCACACCAAGAACGTAAAATCCTGACCTGAAAGTCGAAAAAAATCAACCCTGTATGCCCTAGACGCTAGACGCTTAATCTACAACCCTAAGCCCTAAGACCCTACACCTTAAGTCCAAGTACCATACACATTTTACCCTAAACCCTAAACTCTGAACCCTAAACCCTAAGCCCTAAAGCCTAAACCCCAAATAGTAGTTTCCATTTTCTTTGCCATTATCCCAATATATAAACCCTATACATCCCCCCTACAACCTAAAACCTTAAACCCTACACCCCTACAACCTAAAACCCTAAAACCTAAAACCCTAAAACCTAAAACCCTTAAACCCTAAACCCCTAAAACCTGAAACCCTAAACCCTAAACCCTGAACACCGCGTTTGGGCTCCGAACTCCAACTTTGGGCGCACCGCATCAAGGTTGGGCTTGTACTGCCCAGGCCTGATAGGGGGGGGAGTTCCCAAAACTAGGTTTAGGGCTTTAGGGTTTTAGGGTTTAGGGCTTTAGGCTTTAGGGCTTAGGCTTTAGGGCACCTTTTTGGCAGGTCCCCGTAATAAGGACTATAACATTTCTTCTAGGGTCCATATTGGGGACCCCTTTTTTGAGGGAAATTACCATGCTGAAGATGGGAATTATTCAGACCCTACCTCACAGGCGTTCAGTAGCGTTTTTGACTCAGCGCGTAGCATTTAGGGAATTGAAGGTTTCACCTCCCGCATGGTTCCACACGTAAGGTTTACGATTTGGGGTTTGAGTTTCGCCTTTAGAGTAGTACCTAGTGGTGACTTAAGATGTATGTAGAGGTTTAGATATGGATACAATGGATGACAAGGATTATAGTTAGAATGCAAGTAGCAACAAGCAGGCGCATATATCGGACACTCTGTGTGCAGTTGTGGCTTAGTCGTCGCTAGGGGCTGATCTCAAGGTCTTAGGCGGAATCAGCGGCTCAGTGTCTAGCTTCGTGGGTGCATAGCTTGAGGTTTCAAGTGTGCATGCTCGCTGCAACTATTATCCACACGTAGCCTCCCAGAAGAATTGGATCTTGGATTTAGGGAATCCTCCCTCCATGCTTCAAGCCCGCTACAAGCGTCTGTCTCAGGCATTTTTGGGGGGGCTCTCCACAGCCGCGACATGTGCACGTCTGTGTTTGCGAGGTGCGCAACAAAACCCAGCCGAGCATGCCAGAACCTCAGACGGTCAGTTCCAGTAAAAACAGCGGCCAAAACGGGCTGTCGAATGCTCCGTTCTGCCAGCTTCAATGGAAAGACGGAAAGCACTTGACCCCCCAAAACTATCAAGACCTCAGTCTGGGCTAGAGCCAATATTTCCTTATGTGGTTGCTAGGACTAGACCAAACCTATGTTCACCCTTATTGATGGTCCCTTGATAAGCCTCATATTGGCGGTTGCTTTAAATTGAACCCCATAGGTCCCTAGTTTCCATTTCATTTTCCATGTTCTTTTCCATTCTCCATTTTCCTATATACCTCTATACAAGACCTTTACAGGGTCCTTCGGTAACCCCTGATATTGACAGAAGCTCATCTCATCTGAACACTGGCCAACACCCACCCATGGCCCAGGCTGAAAGTAAGTCTCAGGGTCCTTGTCCCGGGCTGCCGACAGCCTGTGCGGAGAGGCTTAGGGTACCCTCTCTGGGGGGATTTCCGGGTTAGATAAACGTATATAGTATAAGGGATATTCTGGGTCTAGGCTGGGCTTTTGAAGCTTCCGCATATGCCCAGGTGTTCTCAGCAGAATGGCAACCCTGAGTCGATGTACAACTGTCCAAGCCCACCTGCCTTTAGGCACCGCTTTCTGAGGACTTACGACGACTTAACCCAGAGAAGCATAAACTGCACATTGCTGCCAGCCGCAGCGTCCGAAGCACATGTTTTGCACAGCTACAAAAAAGTGAGGAGAGAGAGCCAGAGAGAGAGGGAGAGAGAGGGAACCAGACAGAGGGAGAGAGTGTGGGAGAGAGGGGAGACCTGGGACTTTGGGCGCACTAGCAGGGATGCAATGGCAGGGAGAGGACGTACGCCCGAATGGTGTTGCAAGAGCCGACCTAGGCGTTGAGGGCTGATACGAGTGGCACGTTTTGGCGTCCTTCTCTATGCCTTCTGAGAAGGACTCTAATTTGACACCACTTGTTACTGGCAGGTTACAACAGACTCCCCAGATCAAGGGCGCGAGCTTTGCGAAGTCCCACTCCGGGGTCCGCAAGATCCTGGGCTGTACTCGCGAAGAAGAAGCATGCGCGTTTCATTGGTATCTACTGCTAAGGCACACATAGCATTTCAGGCAGAACAGTCCATGAATCTATGCAGGGCCAATTGACGTTCTAGGAGCAGACGCAGGCACAGTCCGGCAATGCAAGTAGGGCAGTCCTGGTCAATGATGAACTCAGCAGCAAGAGTACTTAAGGACACATTCTCAAAAAGGCATACCCTTAGGGGATCTCAGGATTTAATGAGGGTGTGGCATCACGGATTCTGTACGAGAAGATCAATGACCTTGGCAACCTCAATCCCAAAACACATGACAACACTGGGGTTCCTAAGGTTGAGGGTGAGGGTCAAAATTCCATCGCTGGCATTCTCAGTATCACTCACTATTCTGGATGCTCATATAGTATAATATAGTAGTTCCATCGTGTTTCCCATTATTCCCATATGACATAGTACTTTCCATTTTATTTTCCGTCATCCCTATATAACCCCAGTAGATACCCTATATAACCTCTATATAACCCCTATACCCCAAACCCTATCCATTGGGACCAATATAACCCCCTAATGGAAGAACATATGTTAGTTTACCTAAATAAGGGGACCCCAATATAGACCCAAAAATACAAAAGACTATCCTTATTATCGGGACTCCCAAAAGAGTAACCCTAATTTCGGGAAACCCCCAAATCGAAGTTTTCATTTTTCCATTATCCCTGTAAAACCCCGATATAACCCCCTAATACCAGCGAGGTGTAGTCTCTCCAGACCTATAATAAACATAAAATCTCTAACAATTCCTTAGGGTTATACTAATAATTAAAAAAAGTATCTTGAAGAATTCCTCAGGGTTATATTTAAAAATGTTCTTACTAATTCCTTCGGGTTATACGATAATACGATTATCTTATCTAAAATAACTCCTATAAGGAGACTACAGAGGGTCAGGGTTAAGGCGATCATTCAAGGGACCAAGGTCGCCGTTACGGCACATCTTGACCAAGGCCTCGTGGCACGAAACCGGCATGGTTGGAAAGTTACACTACCCTAAGGGTCCAAGGACCCAAATAATGGGGTTTTAGGGCCCAAATACTATACTATTAATGGTATTTGGGCCCTAAAAACCTATTGTTTGGGTCCTTGGACCCTCAGGGCTAGACAATAAATCAGCCAAGCGTCATTGAAGTGTTGCAATCACCATCAAGAACACCGTCCTGAGCCGCCGAAAGGAAAGTTTGCTGCATGTTTTCGCATGTCCCACACTGGAAAAATGCCACCATTGTTGAAAGTTTAGCAGCGAATTGCAACGTGCACCCCGGAGGCTCTGGAAAGTGCTGAAAAAACGTGAGGGGGGGGGAGGTCCAAAACTCATCAACTGGATGGCCGGTTTCTTACGGCGGCCGATAAGGACCATCACCACGCTGCCTGTCAGTGCTTCTGTCGCCCTATGCAATACCAAGCCTCCTGCTCTTCATGTCCATAGACGCCATCCTACCCATGACCCTACAACCTCAACCCCAAACCCTAAGCCCCAGCCAAAACTGCCTAAGCTTGAAACCCAACTTCCTGAACCTGGAACCCCCTAAACCCTAAACCCCAAAACCCTAAACCCCTTGACCCTAAACCCCTTGACCCTAAACCCCAAAACCCTAAACCCCAAACCCCTCTCTCTCTCCAAACCCCTAAAACCGAAATTCCTCATCAACCCCGCCGCTTCCCAGGGCTTCGGCCGTGAAAGTGCTATCGTTGAAGTTGATGCCCGCACTCTTTAAGAGGTCGGGCCTAAGCTGTTGGGGATGACACCCTCCTTGGTGTTCTAGCAGGGGTTTTACGCTCACGCAGTGATAATTTCTCTAAACTACCTCTGAAGTACATCAAATATACTTCAGAACTTATTCAGGAAGACGAAAGAAAGGAGGGTTGTCAAATTTATGGCCCCTTTTTGGATCCCTATTCTACTGCGGTACCTAATATTTAGGGTACCCAAAAAGGGATCATAATTTTGACAACCACCCATATGTTTAACACATAAACTCCCAGTTCTTCTTTGTAGTTCCTTCTGGGGGTTGCTGTGTTTTTGATAAGGGATTCTCATATCATATACCTCCCAAAATAAGGAAGATTCTAGATGCTGCCAATTGATAGTGGTTCTAATGATTCTTTTAAGTGGACTGAAAGGACCCTGGTCGCTAAATTCCTAGTAAAATCTTGTTATATTCCTGATATGTTCTTGGACGATTCTTAGGGTTCCCTGTGTTGGTGTTCCCATTCTACTCCCTTTGTCTTTGCATGTTGCTGCCAATATTCGCTGCTGCGATCAGAGTAGTAAAGATCCTTTTCATCGCAGTGGCACGGCGTAAACTACACTCAGTGTTTGCACCACGTGTAAATTTGTTCACGCAGGCCATATTACTGACATGTCAGCTCAGGAGTCACTGGCAAACTCCGAAAATGTTGGTTGACGGGGTGCTTTGAGTCCAAATGCTTCCCATTCACTATGACGAGCTTTCATAATCGGAGACGCGGTACAGTCTCACCCTGGAACGCTTCCACAAACCCTTCCAATCCAATTAGATGGGGATCGTCAACAGCCCTCGAAACCCCAGCTGCTCCTCCTGAAGGAAGCCCCAAAACGATGCTCATAGCTTTTGCGACACAAGGGGCCCGTATGCACCCTGGGGATACTAGGGGGGAAACTTCGAAAAAGAAAGCTGCTTCCAGGCCTGAAGAGACTGAAACCACAGCTGGAGGGCCTTGGGGAGTATCGTTCCAGGTTCGGAGTAGTAATGGCGCGCCGCATCCTGTTGAAGTGGTAGAGAGCCGAGGCAACTGAATTCAAGTAGAGTCGGATTTGACATTTTGTCTGCTTGCATACTTTCACTGATATGGGAGTTTCCCAAAATCAGGGGTACCATTTTGGGAGTCCCCATAATAAGGATTATAGTATATTGGGCCTATGTTGGGTCCCCTTAGTTCGGGAAACTACCACATTCGCAGGAAACCTTCTACACTCCCCAAACAACGGGTAAGGGTCTCTCAAGCTTGTGCACCCTACTTGGCTCTTCCGGCGTTCCTATAACAGGATTTTCCTTGCTGCAGGTTTACGAAGGACCCTAAACCCTAAAACCCTAAACCCTAAACCCTAAACCCTAAAACCCTAAACCCTAAACAGAGGCTTGTAGATTCACTATGATGGAAGAGGATTCAGCAACAGCCTCATGGGTTGCAAGCAGCTAAGGCTTAGCTACCTGGACCCCCCAAAGTATGTAGAATAATGGCCTTTTGGGCTATATTCAGGGGGTTTGGGCCATTATTTTACCTACTTTGGGGGTTTAGGTAAGGGTGGATCCAAAGCCTTTGGGGAATTATGTTTGAGTCCAGACCTTGCAAAAGGCTTTCAACCAGGGTTTGGGGTTTTAAATGCTAGCTCCTCTGGCAACTCTTTGGGGGAGATGTACTGCATGAACTGCCAGGTTCCACAAACGGGATACTAGTTCGTTGCACGCCGAAGCACGGCAGGAACCGTGGATCCTGCTCTTTCAAAGGGGTATTCTGCAGTGGCCTAAATGATTACCAATATCATGTTGAAGTCTGCTTCAGGTACCCTGCACGGTAGCTGTATAAGTATACAGCGAATCTACGACCACAAATTCCATACCTGTTTAGGCCCATGTATTAGGTAGACAAGATGCATCAAAATTGCAGAAGAGGAGTTCAACATGCTGCTCTTCAGTGATCTGAAGCCAACATTTTAGCGCACCTAGTCAAGAAATTAGTAGAAGGACTTGGCTTCTGTGGATGTTAAACCAACTTCAGATTGACGCTTGGCTTTTTCCCTACCTACAATGCCCGGCAAAACAAAGCAAACGTACTTATACAATCACAGTGCTTATGTCATTTCCCGTTTTTTGGATCCGATTTGATTATCGCACCTTTTGCTCTTGTCTAAACCGTTTTTAGGTTGGGTGTACTCTCCCCACCCTGTAACAATGACTACTAGTGTAACAGTGACCACTAAGGATAATAAGGATCATATTCGGGTCCTCTTATACTCCTATGAGACCTATTATACCACTTTTCAGGGTGGGGGGTCCTCCCAATGCATGACGGCTTATTGTAAACATTGGCCATCTCATCATAACTCCAGAACCTGAAATTAAGCCAATTTGGGACTACAATACACTTTCTAGAAGGGGATCCTAACCAAACAGGGAGCTACACTAAGGCCAATGTGGGGAGAGGTATTTTGAACAACTACCATTTGGGGCAAGGTCAGGTGAGGTCGGCATATTTTGCCCAGTACACAGACGTGTGGTAGTTTTTCCATCGATATAGAGGAATCGCAGGATACACCCCGCAGATACGATAGTCCTTTTTATGGTGAGCCCCCAACAGTCCCCCTAGTCTAGAGGAACCGAAATCCCCATTGGCATCATAGAATCCATGCTCTTTTCCATTAGATTCCCCTTTCTGGAGGCCAGAATCACCATATACATCCTTGCGCCCCAAACCCAAAACCCCTGTGTAAACCCCTTAACCCAAACCCTCTACCCACATATAACCCTTCTTAACCCCATATAACCCTACGTAAATTATTGCTGCTTCTAAAATGCTTGTCCTGTATTGGAAGCTTGAAATCAGCCTGCTGTGATAAAGCACGTTTCCATTGGAATTGCTGGATGTGCAGCAAGCTACTACCGCGGAGCTTGTTCTGCTATTCCCTGCTAGTCATACAGGCAACTACAACAATTCCCGAAGCTGATCCATCCCTTCAAGATATGATCCATCGAGGTAATCTAAACATCTCGAACGCTGGAGTTTCCTAGCGCTGCACCAGTGATTCATTGGATTTCCCTGCGTGCCCGAAAACACCATCCCAATCATCCGATGAATTCATTCTTTATAACCTACAGATACGCATGTTTTGGACGTGGCCTACTATACAGCCGATAGAAGCCTATATGAGCCATTGTCTAAACTCCTAGTATACCCCTTAGTACCCCTTATAGTAGTCCCCTATATGATCCCCTACATAATCCCCCTTTAAGGAGTTTAGACTATGGCTCATATGAGCTATAGTCTAAACTCCTTGTATCCCCGTAAATAACCCCTCCAGTAGCCCCATAGATAACCCCCTATATAACCCACCTTTCAGGACTCTAAACCCTAAACCCCAAACCCTAAACCCTATACCCGAAACCCCAAACCCTAAACCTATAGCTCACACAGCCCCTGTGTCTTCTTGTGCCCCCGCTTCTCTGGAGGCTCATCCAGGAGCTCGACACTGGTGACGCCCTAGAGGCGCAGCTCCCAAGAGACGATTTGGGGTAGGGGGATGTATAGGGTTTAGGGTTTAGGGTTATATATGGTAGTTTCCCAAAATAATGGGACCCCAATATAGACCCCAAAATATTATAGTCCTTATTATAGGGACCCCCAAAATTGTACCCCTAATTTTGGGAAACCCCCATATCGGGATATGGTAAAAGAAAATGGAAACTACTATTTAGGGTTTAAGGTTTACGGTTTAGGATCTAGGGCTTGGGGTTTGGGGCTTAGGGTTGGGGTTTAGGGTTTAGGATCTAGGCTTGGGGTTTGGGGCTTAGGGTTGGGGTTTAGGGTTGGGTTTAGTGTTTGGGGTTTTAGAGTTTGGGATTTGGGTTCAGGGTCTGGGGTTTAGAGGGCATGCACCACTTGGGGATTTCCACAAGCGTTCCGGGTTTCACGGCTTATGCAGGGAGATGCCCCAGTCATGTCCTAATAACGGAGAATGATATGGAAAATCAAACTGTACTTATGTAAGCACCTGCAAGGGTTAGGGAATACTGGAGACTCGGAGACTTAGATAGAAAATGGAATGGAAGCCGTGGATTAAGTGAGTTTTCTTGGGATGTTCATATACAAATGGCTCCAATATCGACCACAAAATACTAGAATCTTTATGATGGGGACCCCCTTACATGGCCCAAGCAGAAGCACAAAAGTTCTGGCATACCTGGCATTGGGGGGTTAAAGCTGTTTGGGTGAAATTCGGTTGAAGGATTTTCCATGGCCCTCCCAGTACGGACCCATTCAAACTCTTCACGCCGAGATGACATGGATCAGAAGGGCTCAAAAGGTCTGTTCATAGCACGCGTCCTATAGCTCCACCAGGTACGAACTGTGCTGGAGCGGCTTACTGTCCACAGCTTGCAACATGAAATCGCGCTGATCATGTTGGGCTGTCTCCGGAATAACGGGGAAATGTTACTCGTGCCTCCTACATGAGTCGTGCTCGGGTTCAGAGCTAGCGAACCAATCTGCACGCTGCCTCTCCTGAGGATGCCACTCGTTGTCCATAGAGGAGACTTTGCCACATGTAACAAAGCTTTCAGGATTCCTTCAAACACAAGTGCTAATCTGAAATAGGGATTAATTAACATGACGCTATAGGATGTTGTTTGGGTATAATACAGTGGGTAGAAACCTGGCAGCTGTCTGAAAACCACCGCCCCTACGCGGGGCCCTCGCCATGTGCGTGCAGGGTGACTTTCACTGCGTTTTTGATTGCTTGCCAGAATTAGTCAGCATTGCTTTGAAGCTCCTGAATTGTGTATCCTAAGCCCAGCTGGTCCTTCCAAAATTCTGCACTTAGACATCCTTGTACGGGCATGTTTCACGATTCGGCCCCCATTTCCACCCCTACAGAAAAAAAGGCCAAACAACTCTGAGAAATCCCGACATGACTAGCAGTGTTTTGGTAGTTGAACCAACTACGGCAATTCTTGCTGAAAATTCCTGGGAGAAAAAGGAGGCGACAATCTGCATTTGCATTGAAACCCCTAAATCTTCCAATTCAAGATAGTACCCTAAACCCTAAACCCCTATAATCCTAAACCCGTCGCCCCAAACACTCAGCCTTAAATCCCAAATCTCTAGACTTCAAACCCTAAGCCCTTCTGCATGTCATTTTCTAGGTTCTTTTCCATTTGATTGTCCATTATTGGGGGGAGAAGATTGCACCCTAAGCCCTAAACTCTACATAACACCTACAAGTAGCCCAAGGCCTGCAAGAGGTGTTCATAAGGCTTACCCTGTGACTGTAGCTTCCTGACCTGAACAGAGCAGCCAGGGTTTGCTGTAACTCAACGGTTTGGGGTTTGGTTGTTAAGCTTAAGGCTTTATAGGGGTTCGGGGTGTAGGCTTTTAGGGTTTTGCGTTTAGGCTCTTAGGGTAGCCACAGGAATCCCCCCTAAGAAAAAGAGTCTCACTGTATATGATAGTAAGGGTAACTTTTTTGGGGGGAATATGAAAGCTTATTGGATGTTCGGGGAGAGTTGGGTGACTTGTCTCTGGGGAGAAAAGGAAGAGTGTGAGGTCTGCTGCAGCAAGGCAATCATCTTCCTCATCATCCCAGCTTTTAGCTTCTTGCATTGAAGCGCGGTCAGGTTTTAAGGTTTGGGGTTTGCGGGGATTGGGGCTGAACCCTAAACCCTAAACAGCCATGACAGTCTGGCCGTTCGGGTTAATGCTCAGGATCTATGAGTTTGAGCAAAGCATGTCGCTCGCAGACCGTCTCCGAAAGTAGCTGCGGCAACACCCCAACTTCATTGACTTACCGGTACTTAAGTAGTAGTAGAATGAGGGAATAAGCTATATAATTAGGGATTATGATCATATTCTCTTCTTCCGTACTAATCACCAGTAACTTGACCAAGTGCAGATTTTAACTTGCCACGCTGAAGGCGACGGCGCCTTAGGAGCCTGCGAGAATCCTCGCTCTTGAAGCACAGAGCCGCTAATGATTCCAGTATACGTACTTGTTGATGATCAAAGGTTTTCGTAATATTACAAGAACAGTACCAGTACTGAGTTAACACCGGGAAGATGCTAAATCCCCAAATTTCCCATCTTGTTGCAGTACACCTCTCTCTCGCTTGCACCAGCAACGCATGAAGGGCAACCATGGGAGGGGCCTGAGCAGGCCTACCAGATTGGGACTATGAGGGTGTGGTGCTTGCCAACAAAACCCCGATATAGTTATGATCCTGATTTTCAACCCCAACTGCTAACAAAAAAGAAGAATATGAATGGGAATTCTTCAGTAAAAAGTCGATGAAGGTGTCTGGCCTCCCTCTCCATGACCATACGCTTTCTGCTCTGTGTCGGCTCACCGTTGGTGAAAACCTTCCAAGGACAGTGGACCCCAAATGTAGCCTAATCCCCAACCCAATACATTATAATATACTACACTGGGAGTATTTGGTATTAGGGGGGTGGGGGGGGGCTTCAATATCAGGGAGGGGGGGTTAGTAGACCCTACGCCATTTGGCCATGGACTTCCTGACCAGCAATCCCTATATAACCCTGTACTACCCCTATATAATCCCCATATGACTCCATATATATGTATATATATACGTATATAGTCCTTATATAACCCTATATTACCCAGGGTCTGTGACAGGCTGTCACCTTGCCTTGCACAGAACGCATTAGACTTCCGTCAGCCGGCATGCAAATTCTTCTCCAGTGCTTAGGGAGCTACATATTGGGGTTTTGGGTTAGAATCTACGGTTAGAAGGACAATGGAAGAACATGGAAACTACTATAGGGTTTAGACTGCGCATATCGTTTCTTGATTCAAGGTATAATGTCCGTAGCTTGAACCAATGGCAGTCACAGTCATCACGAGACTTCCTGTTCTAATCTCTTTGGAGTTTCTCAAAATCGGGTGGGCCTCGGGACCCGTCGGATATACGGGACTATCTATGCGGGATTTTAAAGGGATCGTTTTGAGAAATATCCACTTGTTGCGTGGGAAGCCCGGACCCAAGAACGCGGCGGGAGTCTTCACTCGTGGAGCGCAGAGATGCGTGCTGGGCCGATAGGAGCCGGGTGGTGGAGCCTTGGAGAGTGATTGCTTGATGCTTTCAATGAATAGCATGATATCTAAGTAAAGGAATCAAGGAATGCATGGAGCTGTTCTGGGGAGTGGAAAAGCTGAGCAAAACGCATGCATAGAATTGTCCACAATAGCTGCTCTCACTGTTGTGCTGGCTACATGTTCTCAGCAATGATTATCACAAACAGGCAGGCAAGCGCAAGGAAGCTCCCACGCGCGTGGCGTGCTGCTGTTTCTGGCTCCAGCTTCCTCTGGTATACTCTGAGACCGCAACCCGAAACCTATTTTCGATTGCCTGCAGGGCAAAATGGAACGTGCCACATCTGAAGCTTGCAGTGAGGCTCCGCTTACTTGATCCTCAAACTCTGGACAGGTGTGTGAAAGTGCAAATCTGATGTTTGCCAATGCCTGAACACGGTAGTTACCAAAACATAGGCATAGACACATGTACCGCGACTACGGTAGAAGCGTGCATGGTTGTCGACCTTTTCACACCCGCGTAGTCAAAACATCCCAGAATCCTATTCAAATTTCTAGCTGCCTAGGATCCAAAATTAAGAACCTTTGCTGACTACGTGCGACGCAGCATCCAGCTGGCCGATCAAGAATGTGAATGACGCTGTTCCCGTGAGCTAGAGTCAACAGCTATGTAGCTGTCTTACTTGGTGTTCGGGGTTTTATATGCTAATTTCCAGAAACAAGGAAACCCCAGTCTAGACCAACAGAGTACTATATCATCCTTATTATGGGGATCCCCAATAGGCTAATCTAATCTAATTTGGGGAAACCCCATGTCCTACTATCCTGTCATAAGGACCTGCATGTGGACAACAACCCACAACACATATTATAATAAGACCCCCATATACCCCATAGTCTATCTACTTGAGGGGGACCAAAGACCCTGAGAGCTGAACGCTAAACAATATGACCGTCCGCGAGCCAGAGCATTCACGTACTCCCTGCTGGTGGAAACGAAGGAAGACATGGGCCTGCGGTCAACAGATTCCCATTATGTAGCCCCCTACATACCCTGTTATAATGTAGATAGTTTCCATGTTCTTTTCCATAGCTCTTATATCATATAAACGCTACAGCGCCAAGAAAAAGGAATGTCCACGCCCCCAAAAGCCCGCAGTTTATGTGGATCCGACAAGGGCTAGGCTCGAGTGGTCCTAGCGTTCAGGGTTCAGGTTCGGGTTTAGGGTTCAGGGCTTTACCAGCCTGATTCTTACAAGCCTCCACCTGATTCAGGATCAGTATTAGTCCAGAGAAGCAATATGGGATCGGCCTTGGCGGTTTGACACTCTCCTTGATTACTCGGAAGCCTAGGTGGTAGCTTGGAGGAATTACCTGGGAGTGCTGAATCACGAGGGCCCGTACACGGCTAACCTGAAAGATTTCCGCTAACGTTAGAAGTCCCATGGATGGGGTTCCTTTGGTATATTTGGGTTATATATGGGTTACATGGGAGTTATAGCGTATATATTGGGGTTATACAAGGATAATGGAAAAGAAAATGGAAACTACTACATTACAATATTTAGGATTTAGGGTTTAGACAACTCCCACGACCACTGCCACCAAAAAGCTTAAACATCTACGGCGCAAGGAAGCAAAACCGGGTCCGTCTTTAACACTGCCTCGGTTCGGAGGGCTCTTGGGGATTTATTCTAGGCGACGATCTGGACTCTGTTAATGCCTCTCAAGCAAACATGCAAATAAAGGCCTTCTTTGTTTGGGAACCCTATGGCCCTATGAGTGGCCACCGAAACGCATTAAAGAGAGCCTTTTCATGAAAATGTCCAATGTCATACGAGGGCAGAGTAGGCTTTGGAGCTTGTGGCCTTTGTTTGCGATCAGCCTGGTTCATGCCGGTGTTCTAATGCGGGGCAAGAGAAACCCAACATTGGATGTGCTGCGTGTGGCATTCTCTTCCCCGAAGGGTCCGTACAGTCATAAAGCATATACTTAGGGCTGAAAAGGCTCCCCCCCAAACTGGCTGTAAGGGGTTCCCATATAATAAATTTAGGGCTCATTTATATACAATATAGCTACATGGACTATTTGGGTTCCGTGTACTTTACAACAAGCCCCCTAATGTTGGCCCGCTGTTTGTACAGTGAGGATTTGTTTCATATGCCCTAAACCCTAGACTCAAAAACCCTAGATGGTCACCCGCAAACCCCTTAACCCTAAACCCCTATAAAACCCTAAAGCCCTATAAAACCCAGCAGCCTAATGAACTGAGCCTCTTCTGCTCACGCAGAGCACGGAGGCGAGCGGCTGGCACCCGGAACTCGGCGTCGTCACCCTCCTCGGCCTCGCAGGACGGCATCTATTGGGGTTTGGGGTTTAGGCTTTAGGGGTTGGAATTTTGGGTTGAAAATTGCCACATTTGTACTTGGGGCTGTGGCTTTGTTTAAGGTTGGTAAGAAGCCGGGGATGCCCTATAAAATGAATCTAGAAGAGGACATTTAAAATCGGTCCTCCTTTGGCAGAGTCCGAAGAAGAAAGCTCCAGCCCGTCTGAACACATGTCTGGGTTTTCCGAAGCCCCGGCTGGTTCCCGTTACGCAGGGCCCAGCGGCGCTGTTACACTCCATTGTTACGGACAATCGGTTCCTGTTACTTCCAATCCTCCAGTAGGGGCCCATATCACTTTAGAATTTGGGGGGTGGATGTCGAAGATGTGGGCTAGTTTTGCTCAAAAACATGGCGGCCTCTAAGCAGAATCCTGCGAACATTCTAGGTATCCCACATCTAGAGCTCAGACTCTAGGAGATGAAGTCCAGGGGGTTTAGAGTCCCCCTCAAGTGGATAGAATATGGGGGAAAAGGGGATCTTATTATAATATACCCAAAGCCATATTCTATCTACTTAAGGGGGACTCTAGGCTTGCAAATCCACCGCAATCTATTTTATAGTTGTAGGAAAGGGGGAGCAAACACTCGGAGCGGACCCCCCGTAACAATCTTTTAGGATACCCAACGCTAAACCCTATAAAGTAGTTTCCATGACCATTGCCAGTCCCCACTCCCCCTTAAGAACCAATGAATAATAAGTTGGATGTGAATAATTACCCTAAACTTGGAACTTACCTATAGATCCCCGTGTAACCCTACATCTCTCAAGAAAACACCTTTATTACAGGGGCACCTGTTTCGGGGGAAGCCCCCGTGCAACTTGAAGGTTCCTGGGACTTAGTGACTACGTGTAACTGCACTAGAAACCCCACTTGTCATCCCCCCTAATTTGACTTCTGTACGCTACCCGAATTCTAAGTAGGGCTAGTTCCAGGTAGTAACCGCTTCCCCTTGATTGGGATTATAACCGGGATCCATATATTAAAGCCCTTAAAAGGAGGTGTATTAATCACAGGTCTACATTAAACACCTAAACCCTAAACCCTGGATAGTGGTTTCCATTTTCTTTTCCATTATCCCTATATGATCCCTATATTCCCCCTACATTACTATATTACCCCTAGAAGGCCCTTAATCACAGGTCTACATTAGACCCTAAACCCTAAACCCTAAACCCTTAGACCCTCAAGTTGAAGCAAGGAGGAAACCGAAAAGCCTGCTGCGGCTCGAGCTCCTCTGCGGTGGTGTTGATGCCGACAACCTGCCAGGTTTAGGGTTTAGGGTTTAAGGGTTTAGGGTTTAGGGTTTAAGGGTTTAGGGTTTAAGGGTTTAGGGTTGAAGGGTTTAGGGTTTAAGGGTTTGGATGGGTTTGGATATTTTTCAGGGGATACTCTTTCAAAACCTTTACTTGGATGTTATTGACTGGGTTTCTGTGCAATAGGTTGAGGATTTACTCTCAACTTTGACCCAGGATTCAACCCCGAAAGTCTCAGCCCTGCGGGCATACCAGCCGCACAACTGAAGGAGCCAAAGTTAAAGAGCCATCATGTTGCACACAGGGTTTTGAGAAAAGTCAATGGTTTTCCGAACAAGTATGTTGTCACTGACAAGGCTCGCATTGACTTTGAAACAAGGTGAGCCCTGCTGGCGTAAGAGAGTGTTGCTTGCAGAGGGCGGTAGATCAGTTGAAGCGTGCTGCCCACAGGTACCCTGAACCTTGTCATACGTTCGCCAAGCTCTGAACAACGACGTGCCGAAGCCTCGCAACAACTCTGCTTAAGGCATGTGGAAGTATCCTCCGTCATGCGGAAAGAAAAAATGTACGAATTGCAGCCGTCTCGGCATTCCCAGACAGTGCAGGTACTCCGCGGCCTCTTTCAAGGTCCGTCTCAACTGCTCGATTCCGGTGCTTTCCTTGGTTCCTTCCTGCAGCCAGGCAAGATGTTTCAAAGCAGACACTTACTTAATCATGTTCAGCGATGTGGGAGTTTCCCGCAATTAGGGGTCCCTTCTTGGGCTTTCTATCTTCTGGATTGTAGTACCTCGGGTCCGTCTTTGCTGGGTCCATTGTTTATGAAAACTGTCAGATTGTGAACGACGCTTCAATCAAGAGAGCCGACATGGCCCAAATGCTGCGAGTAACACTGAGAGCTTAGCTTTATGCCTTTTGGGAGTTCTCAAAAAGCGGGAACCTTGTAAGGCACCCCATTTAATGGAGTCCGATAATTATAGGGACACCAATAGAAGGACAAAAGGACCCCCTGTTTTTGGAAAGCCCCATGTCTAGTTTTCAGTAGATGTGCGCGGAGACCACACGTCAGGATCATCCTGCAGATGACTTCACCCGAGCCCATATGAGGCATAGTCTGAACGTCGTAGCCCCCTATATGACCCCTTATATAACCCCCTTTAAGGAGTTTAGACAAAAGCTCACATCGGGATGTTCCAAGCAGGGGGCCCAATAAAGACCACCAAAAACAATAAGCCTTGACGTAGGGATTTCCAAGAAATGCGCTAACTTTGGGAGACTCCATAAACCTAAAATCTCCATTATATAGCCATCTATGTATATACATAACTATATATATATATATATATACATACATATATACACGCACACCTACATAGCCCCCTTAAAAGGCTCCTAAGTTTTGATAAAATGTCCAGTCCCAAGCCCGCCATGATCACGAGATGCCTGCTCTTTCTTCTCAACATGTCGAGGCCTCGCGAAAGGCAGCACAGTGATACGATTAGTAGGGACAAATCAATATATGGAGGGTTTGGGGTTTAGGGTTCAGGGAACCCGGGGATTAGTAGGGGATAAGGGAATAGATTATATAGGGATCATATAGGCATTATATTCCCGCATTCCCTACTAATCACCAGTAAGCAGTGGAAACTGGAGGTTTAGATGCGGCTTTTCAAAAACCAGGGGTGCCGTTTTGGTGGTCCCTATAGTAAGGATAATCATTTTAAGGGTCTATATTCGGGTCACCATGTACGGAAACTACCATATGAGATCCAGAACCTTTGTGGGGAAATGAAACGTCGAAGCGACAAGCTACGAAGCACACTGATACACGAAATACCCTTCCTGTGGTAAGTAGGGAATAAGGGGAAAATAGTCCCTATATCATCCCTATATAGCATATTCCCTTGTTCCCCACTAACTGCCAGCAAGTACTGCGATGGCATGTCAGGCATCAGTACTCCTTGGACTTGCGGAGCCTGAGCTTAATAAGTCAAAGTGGGGTCCGAGGCTCTGAAAGCAGTAGGGGGAGCACAGGAGGGTTTAGGGTTTTAGAGTCTAGGGGTTTAGGGGTTTAGGGTTTTAGGGTTTAGACACGCGCATCGCACAAGCAGGCACGGCAAAATCGTTTAGGGTTTAGGGTTGTGCGCCCTAAACCCTAAAACGCAGTAGCACCTGAAGCGACATCAGTAGACAAGCCCCTCAAATGAAGAAATGTAGAGCCAGGAATCATTGCCAATATCATGTTGACGTCTATTTGATGACCCTATACCAGGAATTTACAAGGAATCTGGGACCATTGTAAGCGTAATTATCCCTTCAAACCCCTCTATAACTATTTCATTCTCCATGTTCTTTTCTACCTGACTGTTTTCCATCGTTACGGGTATGTTGGTAATTCTTGAAGCCCTTGCGGTACTCTGGGGGTCCAAAACGTCATGGCTCAATTTCGCAAGCCTCAGCAGCTATGTGTCCACCCTGAAGCCCACCTATGTGAGTCGTGCTTGGCCGAGTAGTCGTACCTGACTGGATGGCAGCGGAAAAATCTCCACAGCTATACTGTATCATCTTGCACCCACGTTTCCAGAACACTTGCTTAAGGAACAGATTTCCAAGTACATTGTGAGGCTTCAGGGGATTGTGTAGCGCATGCCTCAAGCCCCAACCGCAGCCCTTGCAACAAAACAAAGTGACATGACACAAAAGGCCACAAAAGGGGAGTCTGTCTGGGCTCTCTGTAGGCAAATGAAAATTTGGAACATTGCCCCCACCCTGTCCAACATAAATTTGGTGCTTAGGGTTTGGGGTCTAATTCCATCAGTGAGGTGCATGTCCTAGATTCCGCGTCCATAGTTTGGCTGCAGTTTTTTTTTGCACAGGGTGTAATGCGACCATGTAAAGAAGCACATTACAACTTACCGCATGTCATCATGTACAGTCGCTTATGAACCTTCTAAACGCTCTAAAGTGCAGCGAATGGCTGACGCAAGCTGTGAAGCAGCGAAGAGGGTGGAGAGGATTGTAATTCTTGAGCTTCAGGAGTGGCGGGGCGTAGGGTACAAGTGGTACGGGGCTTGTTGCGGTTCTGGGATCAGCCATTTAGCTGCCCCAAATAAGGGGACCCCAATAGATCCCAAAAGACTATCATCCTTATTAATGGGAACCCAAAAAGTACACCTAATTTTGGAAAACGCCCAGCGGAGCCCTGCTAGACGAGCACGGTGTCTGTTGCAGCATCAGTAGCTCCTGGAGGCCAGCACTTCGTTTCAGCTGCATTGTGCTGTGGGATCTGTATCTGCTTGTTCCAAATCCCAAACCCTCAACCCCCCCAGACCGAAATTCCCAAGCTCAAACCCCAGATCCTCGCCCCCAAAACACCTAAACTGCAATCCCTGAACCCTATCCCACATCCTCAAACCCTAGACCTCCAAACCCCTAATTAAGCCTGAGTAATTACCAACATTATCGTCCTAGATTCATCGCATACTTATGATATAGGGTACCTCAAATAACATAACATTGGTAATTCGTTCGGCCCTTTATAATCCCATTGCATAACCCCTTGGATAGACCCAGTTCCCGTTCTCCGTTATCCGTAAACTTCCTCCAGCCCTGCCTACCCCTATAAGCCCCCCTTGAAGGGACCAGAATATTGGTACTCATTTTAGCGCTTGTAGTATGGAGATGCTCTACATATCCCACATCAATGTCATATATCCGTACACATACCTGGTTAGCAACATATATCCCAATATACTTATATACCCCTCAGACTTTGATGTACGTGCTGAAGCTGCGTGGTGGTACAGGGAATCGACTCCTGTTGAAGCTGCAACTTAAACCCGAAACCCTGAAAACCTGAAACCCCGAAAATCCTGAAAAAACCGTGAACCTTTTGAACCGCTGGTGGAGGCACAGGGGATCGACTCCTGGACCCAGCTGCCGGCGAAGGGCATCCAGCGACCCTTGGGTCGAGATGCCTCTCAGTCAACCACATGGGGAGTTCCCCAAAAAAGGGTCCCGAAATGGTACCCTAAATGCTAGGTACCGCAGTAGGGGCCCATAATCTTGAGAATGAGCTATATGGTTGCTGAATTTAAGGCTTAGGGCTTTGGGGTTTCAGGTTTAGGGTTTGAGAGTGTTTGGATGATAGCGTTGCAGGTTTAGGGGAGACGGGTCGGGTTGCACAGTATAGGGTGGGCTTTCAGGGCTTCCGTTGTCATTGCTGCCTAAATTCCCTGACCCCGCAAAATGTCAACTTTCCCGATGGCTACAAGCCCACAAATTGTAGAGCGTACCTCCTCAGCCAGTGAGCTTATGGTCTAATGAGTTTCGGGTTAAGGTTTAGGTTTAAGGTACAAACGTTAGCTTTTCGGGCACCCAAACGCCAAACAGAAGCTTGGCATCACCATATACAGCAATATGCTCGCAAAATCGAAGATGCCTTTCCATGGAGGTCTAGGGAATGCGTAGGGTAGATAGAATAGAGGATGTATGGCAACCTTCTTATGAAGGGGAATGCCATATTCTATCTACTTAAGAGGGGCTATGACCTTCTCAGTGATGAACACAGCCAGAATTTAGGGAAAACCTCAAGTGGCAGCCCCTGCCTATCTGGCTCATCATGCCATCAAGGAACATGTTGGCCGGCCTCAGGACTCAAAGTTTGGAGCACAAAACTTTATGAAGCAAATGCCCTTCTCACAAAAGGTGGGGTATCTGTCATGAACGGCAGGTCCTTCCTGCGGCACCCTGCTAACAAGGACAATTTCTGATCGGAGCGGATTGCAAGATCTGTCCTGGTCTGCAGAAGCTGCAGGATATCCACCTGCTCCGTTAATTAAATTCATAACAATTTCACCGGGGCCCTGTCATTCCTCTTTTTGTTGTTTGCACTTGCGGCAAGAGAAGCGCTTGGGGACTCCTAGTAGCCTTTCACTTTGTCAGTTCTACAAATGGCGGTCGCAAACTCGCTCCGTTAAGGTGCCTTGCCCTCGCCCCACTCCACAGCCCCAAGCCCTGAAACCTAAGCTCGTAAGCCCAACAAGCCGTGACCCCAGAATTACTAATATTAATAATACTATTAATATTAATATGATTATGGTTAATAATATTAATTGAAACAACCTTGAACGTCAAGCACTGAAACAAAGCCCTCTAAAGCTCTTTGTCATTCGCTTTAGATGCTTGCACCTACCCCTCTAACGGCTCCTCAAGAAACTAACAGCTAATTGCAGCACTCGTTCTGCCCTCAACAAGGGCATATGTATACATATACACATAAATATATATATATATATACTAACGGTTTAGGATTTAGGGGTGATCCTAAACCTAAACTCCTAAATCCTAAGCAAGGTTGTCCAGACTAGGGATGCCGGATCATGATTTTGGCAACGCCCCATGTAAACCGCAATCCCTATAAACACCGTATCGCTCGGTTTGGGGTTTAGGTCTTCTGTTTAAATTCTCCATGTCCTCTTCAATTTGATTCTCCATTAGTAGGGGAACCTTCCCTAATTAAAGCCTTATAGAACCCTGATCCCCTTAGACCTGGAATAGATTCAAAAATATGTAGGAGTACTCTAACCTCTTTTCTGAGAAAATATTCCCAAGGGGATCGGAATAAATAGGGTGGAACTCGGGTGGAACCCTACAAGCCATAAGCCTCATCAATCCCTTAAACCCTAAACCCTAAGCCCTAAGGCAGTACAGTAGCCAAGGTCTTGGTCCCTGGCGCCCGGGCGCCGCTCTGAGACGGCGTCGGGCTCTGAGGGCCACCTTCGGTGGCCCAACTCTCCCTCTGCCAGAGCCCAAAATGTTTCAAAAGATATAGGGTTTATAGGGCCTTAGGGTTTAGGGTTTAGGGTAGGGGTGCATTTAAAGTGGGTGTAGGGGTTATTTTATTTTTTTTTTGCGGGCTTATTTTGTCCCGCAAGCAGGCAAAGGCCAGGAGGGCCGAGCTCTGTCCTTAAGGCATCTAAGCTTGGAGTTGTCTACAGGCCACAAAGGCCTGCAAAACCAGTTCACCTAGACCCTGGCGGATGCCAAGGGTTTAGGGATTAGGGTTTAGGCTTGTTCCAGGGGGTGCAAAGAGATGTGTACACATTCCTTTATCGGTTCGAGCGACGGACAAATAGACATACCATTTACCATATGTAATACAACCCTTATTTGACCTGAGTTTCCAGGTCACGTTCCATGTTCTTCTCCGTTTGATTCTCCGCTCCTCCCCAACACTTATATATCCTGATGAGACATAACACCAAATACTAGCAATTCCTTGGGCTTTCTATTGTTAATCAGCGAAAGATGGCCTGATCTGACGAAGCACTCTCGTTCCATAACCGCACATGTTGCTGTGCTCTAAAGGTGCATACAGCTTCAAGGGCTTCCAGAAATTTGGGGACCTCTTTTTTTTTTACAGATCCCTGAGGCCTCTAGCAGCTGGGGGCTTATGAACAACTACGAGGGAACCCGAAGTTATCAAATACCCAACTGCTGCGGGTTTAGGGTTTGGGTGGGTGGATTGCGAGCTTTAAGGGTTGGTGGGTGTGTGGGATGAAGGGGTCAGGATTAAGGGCTTTGTCTTGCATGGCTCAGGGCGCGGGGTCAGGATTCAGGGCACAGTATGAACACGAAGGAAGAGTACCAGCTTGATAATGCTTCAGGGCGGTTTCTTGTTCAGTTCTCTGCCCTGCTCATGGTCATGCTGTTCAAATGGAGAAACCTACTGTTACTGCTGCGGTGGAAAATGCTGCAACCACCATGTTTTTGACTTGCCTAAACTCAACTGATTACTGCTAGGGGCTACTGTTCAATGCTTTTGCCTTTTAAACTCAAGCCTTGGGCCACCCACGATGGCGGGCGGCGCCTATGCCCCTCGACCCGATGGCGCAGGTCGGCCTAGCTGGTCCCGTCTTAGCACAGCCACGGGGACGGGCACACCACTTTTGGCCCAGCATTGGAGGCGCTACCAGATGGCCAAGGCCTCCCGAGCCCTCCTAACGAGCCCTGCAAGCGCTTGCAGGCCTCCGGAAGTCTCTGAGGCCTCTGAGCCTCTCAAACATCCAGAAGTTCCCCTCCAAAAGCAAAACCTTCAAGAACCATCTCTCAGCCATATTTGAGAGCGTTCAGCCATGAGCCTTGAGTAACCTTTCAACAACTATAACATAAAGTAAGGATGAGTTTGTGTTGCTGACCAAGGTGGACCTAACTGAGTTTAGATCCCGGCAGTGGAAGGCCATCTAGCTACTGCTACTGCTACTGCGACTGCTACTGCTAGTGCTGCTACTACTGCTACTGCTGCTACTGCTGCTGCTGCTGCTGCTGCTGCTGCGACATCGACGACGACGACGACGACGACGACACGACGACACGACGACGACGACACGACGACGACACGACGACGACGACGACGACGACGACGACGACGACGACTACTACAGCAGCGAAAGTGCTACTACTAGTACTGTCATCGTCATCATTGTTGCTGTTACTGTTGCAAATGCAGAATCCTGATCCCTCGCCCTCGCCTCAGACTCTTTTCTTTTTGCTCGCTGCATTCCAGCACGGAATCAATGCAACTATCCTCGTCTACGAGAGAAACGCCATGTAAACCAGATTGCACATAGTATCTAGGTAGGTAAGGGCACATAACATCTAGGCAGGCAAGGTACGAAACAGTCGTGTGATCTATACTTGTAACTATAAGAGACTTTAAGATATGAACCGGTTAGAACTTGGGGGGTCCTTCTCTACCCTGCATAGCATATGTTCCCCTGTCCTGGAGGTGAATACTTCTTCATTATACTGGTACGTAGCTCGTGTCATCACAGTACTCACTGCTACCACATTGCCACTATGTTTTTATGGCAGTAGCCATGGCACTGCAGACTAGTGTTCCAACAAGAGAGGCGCTTCCAAGGAGCGTTGAGACTACTCGGGCTTGGACTGTGTGCAAATCGACGCAGAGCTTAAACCCTTGACCTCAGTCATGTTAATGTTTTGCTCAGTTTGTTTCTGCAGTTCTACTGGAACCCTCACAAGGAACAAATGATGAGACCATGAACGCAGTTGAAGCAACCTCATCAAGGATCACCTAGAGTATGCTAGCCATGTGTGGGCGCGCGACGCGATATAATCAGCTCGGCTGAAACCAGCCTGTCTGGTGTACAGGCTTGCAGTTATCACTGAATTGGGATTCAAACTTCCCATCACACGTGTGCGGCTTCCAATCACTTTGGCAAGGAAGAGCTTTCCACATGTGGCTCAGTAGCAAATGACCCTGTTTGGTGCAAGCACCGCACTAGTGTCAAGTACCTGTCGACGACAAGGACCCGCGCAAAGAATGGGTAAACTTCTGAAGTTGTTCCTCCCCAAGTCTCAGCTCCAAACAGAGTCATGCTGGTCTGCGTGTCTGCTGGGATTTTAGCCTCCAGCCTACCTTAGGGCCGAGCAGATTGAAGGAAACATAGATGCCCACTGCATCATTCGGCGGGCCTTGGGCCCAAGCCTGCAGGAAGGGCCTACATCCTGTTGTAGCTGATTTTTCCGATGGTCTCTACCAGGCCACCAGCACTTTCCAGTCTGCTTCGATTCTCCCTGACGAAGACGGCCAGCATGATCATGCACATCAACTCAGCAGGCACAGGCTTTTTGGAGAGGAGCAGAGCTGCAACAATAACAACACAACATAACCACCTGGACCCCAAAAGTATGTAAAATAATGGCCTTTATGGCTGTTATTATGGGTTTAGGGCTATTCTTTTACATACCTTTGGGGTTTAGGCAAGTATAAGAGTCATAGCAAAAACGTCATACTCGCCTGAAAACTCATATGAAAACCCTTGTCTACAGCAGCTAGCTCGAAAGAACGTCAACAACTCAAGTTGACCGTGGACGGGCAGCATGCAGCATGGCTCAACATGTGGAACATAGAGGAAAAGCCATAGCTTCGGGCTACGCAGCTTAGGGTTTAGGGTCTAGGTGCAGGGTCCGGGCTTACTTAGGATTTACAGCCACTATACGAAGTTATGAGGGAGCCAAGAACTCTTGGAGCGACGCTCGAGACCAAACCCTCTGCACTGGGAGTTTCTCAAAAAGAGGTGGCTCTTAGAGACTATAGGAAAATGTGGCCCCTTAGTGACCCCGTTAACACTCGCCTATACAACCCCCTATTATAAGGAGTTTAGAGTATAGCTTATGTGGCAGTGGCGATTTAAGAGAATCATGACACTCCCAAATCACCCCCTCATCGTCAGGACCTGCCAAAACTGGGGCATCGGCCACAATTGTGGCAATGGATGGGACCAGAATCCAGTACTCTCCTGTCGGTTAGATAGGCACATTATGAAAGACCAGCTTTACCGCGCGTTGCGGGTTTGGGGGGGGTACTGCCCGCATCCTGTTGATATTATCCTACTGATACAGAGCGAGGACAGTAGCCAAGCTTTACCTACGGTAGTGGCTAGAAGGGGCTGTAGGATCCTTCCCAGTGATAGCTGCAGCGTTTTCCTTGCTAGCCTGTCATACGCACATCATGCTACCGTTTTGAAGTTTGCCGTGACGGCTTGCCAAGTGTCCTCCTCCTTTAGATACTGATGCACGGATATCGTCATCTTGGCTGACGAGCGAGGCAACTGCTGAACCATCGGATAAGAAATAGACTCGCTCTACCAAAACTGTTGCAGGAGAACGGCGGGTCAGGAAGACCTTGTTTGGAAAACATGACATGATCATTCAGACTTTTCTGGCTGTTGCTGTTGTTGCTCTTGCTATGAAAATGTTATTTTTCCTCGGCTTACTTTGTAGGGAGAAGCTCTGAACTCTACAGCTTCGGCCAATGGCGACACCCTGCATAATAAAAATAAATAATAGTACTTAACAATAATAACAATAATGATAAATACTCATAATAGGACGCGCCCTGGGCGTTTGCCCGGACGCGATTCGGTCACGTGTGCGAATAACCCACATTTTACTGTGTTTGGAGATTTTCGAAGGTGCATAGTCGGGGCATAAAAATGTCTTATTTTTTACGTTGGTTTTGCAACATGCGATTTGCTTGTCATATCAGGCCGCAAGATCGGCATGTTCGTTTTCACCACTGTGCGCAGTGTTTCGTGCTCTTCGGAGCACATTGCGTATGCACGAAATAAGCGATTTTTCATTCCCGGAATGGATGGCCCAAATTTAGGATTTCAGTGGTTTTTTGGTCTGAGGTATCCTGAATGTGTAACGATTCACGGGAATTAAAAAACCGCGAATTCTCGAAGCTTGTCGCTTGTTTTCAGCAGTCTGCGCAATGGTTCCTGCTCTCCGGCTTTGTGTCTGGTTAGTCGTTCTGAACGAACGCACGAATTTTTGCTTCCCGTACAGGATTTTGTGAACAGGGGAGTTCTTCTTGTTGTGGTAGGTTGTCTGGGAAGCGAAATACGCACATTCTTCAAGCTAGTCCCCGGAGACACAGACTTCTAGTCTGCACCCAAACCCAGGCTGAGGAAGCTAGTTTCATCCCAGACAACCGTATGCTTTAGGAACACG